CTCCTCCTCTTTTCCTACTCCTCTTCCTCCTCCTCGCATCGCGTCGCATCGCATCTATAAGATTGGAGGTCCGATGCCTGTACAAAGGTGAAGCAGAGTAGAGTAAAAGACAGGGCGCCGAATTCGCATGCAGGGGGGGGAGCGAGGGGAGCCCACGGCCTAGCCCGCCCCCTCGATGGGAATGTGCATGGTCCTGCAGTGAACCATGCAATCATCCGCCATCTCGTGCCGATGGTAGGGGTCGAGCGGCACGAAGAAAGCCGCCGCCCACTCGGGCACAGCCCATTCGTCCGCACTCCCGCGCACATGGGGGAAGTTGAGATGGGAATCGGCAAGGAGCTTAGAGGCGACATGATAGCAAATGGGGGCCAGGATACACCTTGGCCCTGGTAGTGGTCCATGTCCTGTCCAAGTTAAGCCCCATGAGCGAGATATGAGCACACCCTCCGCACCTATCACGCCGAGGTTTGCAATCGGTCAAAGAGCGCAACGCGGGGCAATGTACCGCGAGCAAACGCGTGGGTTTAAGGGCCGATGATCCGAACTGGCACTGGTCAGTATCAACCACCTGCACGGAGGAGAGTTTCATAAGCCGTTGCATCTGGGGAAGATACCAGGAGGACGGTATCTCGGGTCGTGACGGTCCAGGGGCAGGATGCTCCATCACACGCGGGATCCTATATTTCCATCCTTGGAAAAGGAAAAAAACACCATGGTCCGAAGGAGGGCGCTAGCTAGGCCAACCTGCGTAAACTCACGGCTGCTGAGCCGCGGCAGCCCCCAGAAGTGTTGGGGGAGCGAACAGAACGAGGAGGCCTGAGGGTGCCTCCGCACGGAAGATGACGGGCCGCACTCCAGGTTTCGAGGGAGGGCCACCCAGGATGGCTAAAACGAACCCATGGGAAACAAGATCGAGCCAGAGTCGCACAGTATCCTTGTCAGTGAGATCACCGCGAGAGGTGCAATGAGCGACGTCAACGCTCATAACATACGCGCACATGGGATATCGGTGAAGCGACTGCTGAAAGTGGTACTGGAACTCCTCCTCTCTCCTGTGTCCCGAAAACAGATGAAGCACATACATATTGTCCTGGGGAACGGGAAGCTGAGGGCTAGCATGGACGGGCGGAGGCGGGTCATCGCTGGGAGGAACAGCGGGAAAGCGCAACACAGCCTGATGAACATCAGAGGAGGCCGGGAGCGAGGGCCCTGGAATCCTGACAGCCAGTAGGGAAGCACAATTGTCTTGCCCGTCCCTGCGAGCGATTGCGGCTGTGGATCTTCCGCCGCTCCGCGACCTGATCGCGAACTTCTTCGGGCGAGACAGGATGGGTCGGGAGCCATTTCTGAATGGTCTGGAAACAAGCAGGCCGACGATGCACATGCTTGAGGAGACGCGCGTTGTCACGAAAGTCCGTCACGCACGCTTGACAGACTTGATCCACCACAACGAAATCTGGCGCCGAGGCCTGCTTGTGCACTTTGGCTCGATGAATGCGTAACTGGCGAAGAGAAGCATGCGCGTACCCACACTCATAGCACATGTGAAGGGCCGGAAGGGGGGGGCGGATTCGCGTCAGCGGTCGTCCCTCCGTGAGGGTACTGAGCGTGCGTTCCCATTGCGCGTTGAGATCCTCTTGCTGATTATGAAAGACGGCACACCGCACGGCATTGTTAACCGCAGCCTTGAAGTCCCTGAGATTACTGCGCAAACGCGCAATCCAGCCTTTCGGAATGTCATCAGTGGACTATTCCTCAGGGGAGGTTTACTTATTAAGCCAGAGGAGGTCACGCGTGACAAGTTCACACCAAGTGCCTTTGCTCCCCCACAAGAGGTCAATCATAATCCTCAAGATGGGGGGGCCCATCTTGCTGAATGACACGCGCGAGGTATGGGAGCCGCGCGACAGTGATGATAACATCAATGGGTAACCGTTGGACACGCTGTACGATTTCACTGTAGGCGACATGCTGCTCATAATTGTTACTCCTGGGGAGGTTGAGAGCAGCGCGGTAAACGGCAGCGTGCGCGGCGCGGAGTTTAGAATGCAAGAGAATAGAGAGCAGGTCCCACGTGAGAGCGGCAAAGAAGAGCACGGATGATGAGACAGCTTCACTAAAAGTGACCTTCGCCGTGACACTGAGCCTTTTCCTCCCCGAAACGGTGGTGCGGATTGGTTTCAAAGCCTGTCGCGCGCTGGACGTACGCGCAGTGATCTGGGGGGCCATGGAGCCCGCTTGATCCAACCCCTCCCTTCTCCTCCTCCTCCTCCTCCTCCTCCTCCTCCTCCTCCTCCTCCTTTCTCCTCCTCCATTCCTTTTCCTTATGGATAACGCCTCCATGTCGCACCCCGTGACCGGTCGAAAGGGCGGGCCGGGCGTCTCGCCTGAGACTTCCTCACCATCTCTGGTCCTGAAGCTGAAGAAATGGCAACGGCTTCGCAGATGGAGGGCGGGCCGCTTCCAAAATGTGGCTCTCGCTTCAGCGCCGCGCACATTCTTCTTAAACGCTTGCAAGAGCTTCACGGGTTTAGGGCGTTTTTTTCAAAATGTGGCTCTCGCCTTCGCGCCCAAAACATTTTTTCACCGCAATAAATTCATGTGCTTCCATGGTTAACGTACCAATAGAGGTGCTGGGGACGATTCAAGATTGTCAAAGCGCAACCCTTACGATGATTCGCGGTGTTGACGTCCTAGGAACGGTGGTCTGGCACGATTTCGGCTACACGCAAGAGTGACCCTGGGTAAACGTGACCTTTGGTGCGCGTTTTTTTGGGGGCCGCGGGGAGACCAAACCTGGGCGCGCAAGCCGCTGCTACCGCTTCGTTTTCAGCTATCTGAGGGCCCATCTGTGCCCGCACCAAAGGTCTCTCCGGCGAAAGGTCACTCTTACGTCTAGTCGACGACTCTGGATCGTCAAGGCGCACCAGCCAAGTTGATTCGATGCGTTGGAGTCTCGAGAATGGTGCTCTGGCGTGCTTCAGGATTTTCGCACGGTTGTCCCCCATCGGGGCAATTCCCTCAGGTGTAAAAGAACCCTTGCAGAAGCCTATGAAGAGGGAGCTTGGAGGGAGGATTTGCTCCAACATCGTTGATGGGTCCTGGGCTTGCACTGGTTTCCTTATACATGACTTCTCCCCGTCGTACCCCGAGGCCGGTCGAAAGGGCGGGCCAGGCGTTTCGCATGATACTTCCTCGCCATTTACGATCCTTCGCAAATGGAGAGCGGGTCGTTTTCAGAATGTGGCTTTCGCCTTAGCGCAGCGCGCATTCGTCTTGAACATCTGCAAGGGCTTCACGGATTGAGGGCGGATCGTTTTCAAAATGTGGCTCTCGCTTTAGCGCCGCGCGCACGCGCCTTGAACAGCTGCAAAAATTTCACGGATCGATCTCGGGTGGTTTTCAAACTGTTGCTACCAGCTACGCGCCGCGCGCATTCGTCTTAAAATGTTGCAAGAGCTTCACAGATAGAGGGCGGGTCGTTTTCAACATGTGGCTCTCTCCTGGCGCTGCGCATATTCGTTTTCAAATAATTGACGCGGGTTGAGGGCGGTTCGTTTTCACAATGTGGCTCTCGCCTGAGCGCCACGCACATGTGTTACAACACATTGTACGAGGTTCACTGGTTCTCATGGTTAACGTACCTGTCGTGGCGTTTTGGAACGATTCAGGATTGTCAGGGCGCAACAGTTATGATGATTCGCGGTCTTGCAGTCCAAGGAATGGTGCTCTGGCACGATGCAGGATCGTGGAGTTGAAATCCTAAGACTGTTTTTGGCACGCTTCAGGATTTGCACACGGTTGGCCCCCAACGGGGAAATGCCCTCAGTGGAAATGAATCCTCGTAGGGGCCAATGAAGAGGGAGCTTGGGGGGAGGGTTTGTTCCAACATCCTTGATGAGTCTTACGCTTGCACTGGTCCTCCTCCTCCTCCTCCTCCTCCTCCTCCTCTTCCTCCTCCTCCTCCTCCTCCTCCTCCTCCTCCCTCTCGTTCCAAGCCCTTCTTCTCCTCGGCCTCCTCCTCCTCCACCTCCGAGTCAGCCCCTCTGTTCATACGCCTCTGTCCTCCTCCTGAAGGAGCAGTAAAGAGAGGGCGGAGGAGGATGAAGAAGATGAGGATGAGGATGAGAATGAGGATGAGGAGGATGAGGAGGAGGAGGAGGAAGAGGCGAAGGCGGAGGCGGAGGAGGAGGCGGAGGAGGAGGAAGAGGAGGAGAAGGAGGAGGAGGAGGGGGGCTGATGAAGAAGTTGATCAGGAGCAAGATGAGCACACATGTTTGAAGTTTCGACTGTTTCTCGGGCTCTGGGGCCTCCCCCTCCCCCCCTCCCTCCTGCCCGCCCTCCTCCTTCGGAGGCCGAGGGAGTGCTCGAGAACTCGGGAGGGGCACGTCGTGAAACGGATCAAGATGCCGGAGGTCTGGGGAGGGGTGGGGGGGGGAGAAGCCGAGGGCGAGGAGATGTGCCCTGCGAGGCGTCGTCGCCTGCTGACTGCTGCCGCCGCCTTCGCTGCTGCCCTCTGGCCCGTCCTGCCCCAGCTGCCTCGCACTACTCCCGCGGGCTTCAGAACTCCCGCCCGCCCTCGCCGGGCGTTCTGGAGTCCTGGATATGTCAGACGACGAACGCATGCTTAAATCACAGATTTCTGCTGTGCAGTCGGACTTGGCTGGAGAGGACACGCGAGAGGACACAAGACCCTTCCGAGGGCCACGTTGCCACAGAAGTGCAGGAGGCATATAGGTCGCAAGACACAGGGCACGAAGATACCCTTGATCTGGCAGGGTCGACCTACTACTCCGGGCCGCCTGTAAGCCTCCTTACGGCAAGCTCAGAGCCAGAGAACGAGGAGGAGCAGAGCGTGGGAGGATCAGGGGGGAAGGATGCCGTTTTGTGAGGGTGCGCGAGGAGGGGCCTCCCCGAGCTTCCCCATCTGCGCCTCGCATCGGAGGGCGCCCGACTCCCCTGGGGGAGGCCCTTCTGCGCGGCGCCGAGGGGCACGGCCCTCAGAGGTCCAGCGCCAGCCTCGCAAAGGAGCCCCCGGGCAGGTAGGACTCGCTCTCGAGGTCCCGGGTGCGCAGGCACAGGGGGAGCTCCGGTCGACTGCACGCAAGAGTGGCCCTGGGCAAGCGTGGCCTCGGGTGCGCGGCTTTCTGGGGGCCTCTGGGGGGCCAAGCACAAGCGCGCAGACCGCTGCGATCGCATCGCGCTCGGCGATCGGGGGGGCCCAAACGGCCCGCAGCAAAAGTCACTCTGGCGAAGGGTCACTCTTACGTGTAGTCTCTGGGTTGTCCGCCCGGTCGGGCAGGTCGTCGGGCTCGCCGAACAGCACGTGCCAGTAGACCTCGTACATGAGGCAATGCGTGCTGCGGCCGGGGATGTCGTGGCACTCCGGGGGAGACTCCTCCCGGAGCATCTCGAGCATGCGCACGTACCTCTCGAGCGGGTTGGCCAGCACCCGCGCCCGCGCCACGGCGAACTGCGCGCAGCAGTAGGAACCCAACGTCCCCCGCGGGGCGCGCCCGAAGATGCGCCGGAAGACCTCCTCCCGGCACGGGGACAACCGGAGGAGGGCCAGCTGAGACAACGCCGCATGCCCCCCAAAGCGGTCCCAAGACCTCTCCTGGGGCCCATCTTGGCCTGCGTTGCGACGCGGATACCCAGCCGTGGCGACGGAACGCCTCCAGTAGGCCGGGGAAGCACGAGGAACACCAGGGAGGGCCGCCGCTGCCTCGGCTGGGGCACCTCCGAGACAGGGACGACACCAAGCGCGGGTAGTCCAAGTGCACAAAGCCTGCAGTGAGCGACCGGTGCTCGATGGCACGCAGCACGAGGGCGAGGTAGCCCCACTGCAGGTGGTCCTCGGCATCTGCCTGGAAGAACAGCGTGTAGTCGTGCGGGCCGTCGTAGTGGTCGATCACGTGGTGCAGGTAGGCCGAGCACTCGTCGGTGCGCAAGTCGCCGTCGTCGACCTGCTTCGTTTGCACCTGCCGAAAGGGCCTGGACAGCGCGCCGATGTCTGTGGCCTGGCCGCACTTCTCGTACACGAAGAGGTCCACGGCCAGCCTTTCTAGAGGCGGCACATAGAGGCGGCCGTCGACCAGCCAGCCTAGCGACTCCCTGCAGTGTGCAACGACGAGCTGCGCCGAAGGCGCGGGCCGCGCCGCCGCGACCTCGATCGCGCTGGCGGCCTCCTGGTAGCTGTCCATCGCCTGCTGTATCGGCCAGGCCTCTGCCTCGGCCTCGTACGCGTCCCAAGACAGAGCAGCGGCCAGGCTGTCCGCCTTCGCGATGGCGTCGGCCGCCTGGCTGCCCCGCCCCACGACCGTGGCTCGGACCCCCAGGAACTACAAGTGATCTGTCTTTGACGGGTCTGCAGTTCTTCAACGGGGACCTGCGGCACGCCCGGGTTTCGTGGCCGTCGCCAGCAAGAGAAACGAACACGAGAAATTGCCCATCAGATGGCATTGGGAGCTCGCGAAGAGCAGGGCGGTTTTCAAACGGACAGACGGCGCGACATGACGCCAAACAGAAGGAGGACCTGGAACCGCTCGGAGCCCTCATGGTCGAAACAACCCTTGGTCATGGGCCTGTCTATTCCATTGGTCTTTGCTGGTGGCTGGGAGCCGTGGGCCCACGTTGTGAGAGGCCGGTCGGCCGCCTCGCGCGGCGACACCGGGAGCCGCATCTCGGCGAGGAGGATGAAGGCGCAGACGAGCAGGCCGGGGCAAGTGCTCATGACCTGCTCCTGCGTGGCCCGCGACAGGTTCTGCGTCGCGAAGAACACCTCTCCGAGGGGCAACGTCAAGGGGGGGACTTTGTTCCCTGGCGCTGCCGCGTAGGATCTCTGAAGCTACTGTACCAGGCATGCGAACGCCATCTTCGAAGCTTGCGAACCCCCACGCTGGCCCTCTGAAAGACGCTTCTCTGGTGCCCCCACCCGTCCCTCCTTCAGCGGTGCGTTTTTCCCTGAAGGGCAATGATGGGAAGGGACCCACTCATGGGGGAGAAATGTCCACCTTTAATCGGCGATACATCGCCGACAGATCGGCGATATGTCCTGGATAGCGAATCTGAGCGTTCCTGGGCGGGGTGGAAATGTCGGGCCCCTATCGGCGACCAGTGGACGAGTCGGGGTCGATGCATCCCCTCTGAAGCTAATCTCCCCTTCACGTTGCCCCTGAGTCTTCAAGGTTGCGTGATAATCTTCCCCTAGTGCAAAAACACAGGACTGCCCATGTTTCACATAAGCTGAGAACCCTCTGTCGCTATGTATGGCTAATGATGAGCCGCGTCTACATCGAATAGCGGGGTGGTGGTGCTCGGAAGGGGCATTCCACTCCTTGACAAGACTGTCTTGCCCCGACTCGTGGCCGCGGCGATCGCCGCGGCGACCTCCCCAACCGACCCCGAGGCTTGGCCAGGGGGGCCGGACACCACGCAACGAGGCCGAGCACCTCCTCCAGCGGTGGGGGCCCGCTGCCCGCGAAGAACCTGACGAGCCGGTACTGCAGGTCTGCACCCTCCAGCGCGAAGGCCGCATCGTGCGGAGGGCCGGAGGCCGGCAGCTGTACATCGCCACCCTCCTCCTCCTCCTCCTCCTCCTCCTCCTCCTCCTCCTCTTCAAGCTCTTTCTCCTCTTACTCCTCTTCATCCTCCTCCTCCTCCTCTTCTCTTCTTCTTCTCTCCTCCTCCTCTCCTCCTCCCTCCTCCTCCTCCTCCCCTCCTCCTCCTTCTCTTCATCCTCTCCTCTTCCTCCTCCTCTCTTTCCTCCTCCTCCTTATCTTCTCCTCTCCTCCTCCTCCTCTTCCTCCCTCTTCCTCCTCCCCCTCCTCCTCCTCCTCCTCCTCCTCCTCCTCCTCCTCCCTCCTCCTCCTCCTCCTCCTCCTCCTCCCCCTCCCCCTCCTCCTCCTCCTCCTCCTTCCCCCGAGGCCATCGGCCAGGAGGGTCTACACTCCTCCAGCCCAGGACCCAAGATGGTGCTGGCCACGGTCGGCCCCGGTGTGCACCCAGCTCGCCCGAACTCTGAAGCGCTGCGCGTGTGTTTGCGCAGCGTGTGCCGGCGGTGCCCTCGACCCCTCGACCACACCCGAGCTGCCGTCGTTTCGCTGCGGTTCGTCTCTGATGGCCCTGTGGCCCGAGAGCGGCCTCCAAAGGCCGAGGTCACGAACCAAAAGACTTGCCGCAGAGGTCGCGCAGCGGCGCCCGAAGAAGTCTGCGCGGGCCCACCTCCCTCCGCTCAAGATCACTTCTCGGACCCTTCCCGAGCGCCTTCCTGCAATCTCTTTTCGAGCTGCGTCCAGCCGGGGACACGAGGGCTCCCCAGGATGCCCTCCCAGAACGCAAGGAGGTCAAACTCATCTCTTCCCATGCCTCCGACGTCGTGCTTCCTCGTCGACGTGGGACCCTGGAACGCTCGACCCTCTCCCAATGAAGAAGAAACAACGGCAGACACATAAACTTTTGGCGCTTCGCGCGGATTTCTTGCATCTGCGCTGGACCCCACAACTAGGCGCGCGGAGCGCGCCGGGGGCGGGCCGGAGGCGCCGCCGAGGGGGGGCCCCGCACGGATCCAAGAAATCCGCGCGGCGCGCTCAAAGTCTATGCTGTTCTTCCTTCTTGACCCCAAGGACCAGTCTTTCGCCCAGGATTGTTGCTGAACGGTCCCACGTCGGGTGCGCCGACAAGGGGGGGCCAGGAGGAGTGGTGGGCCAGGCGCTCCATGACCCGAGGCGTGTGCGCGGACGAGGTGTCGGCCAAGTATGGGGGAGGAAGAGGAGGAGGAGCAGGAGGAGGAGGAGGAGGAGGAGGAGGCGAAGAAGGAGGAGGAGGATGAGATGAGACGACTCCCAGGAAGCCAGTCCAAGGAGGGAGGGGCCAGCCAACTACAAAAATGGTGGCAGGGTGCACCATCAGGGGGAGATTGTGAGAGGACGAGAGTGGCGGCCACAAGCCACTCTCGCCCTCAGCGACAGGTGCACCCGCTCCAAAACTTAAACCTTGCTGCGAGCCTCCTCTCGAGCACGAACCCGCTCGAGGAGGCGTGCCATTCGAGCATCATACGGGACGACGCTGTCCGATGAATACTGCACGACAGACGTCGACGCGCGGACATCCCGCGCACTCGCAACACTGAGACCGACTCGAGGGGCAGGGATGGCTCATGAGGAGGAGGAGGAGGACGAGGAGGAGGAGGAGGGGGCGGAGAGGAGGAGGAGGAGGAGGAGGAGGAGGAGGAGGAGGAGAGGAGGAGGAGGAGGAGGAGGGGAGGAGGGGGAGGAGGAAAAGGTGGAGGAGAAGGAGGAGGGGGAGGAGGAGGAGGATGAGGATGAGGAAGGAAGAGGGGGAGGAGGAGGAGGAGGAGGAGGAGGAGGAGTAGGAGGAGGAGAAGGAAGAGGGGGAGGAGGAGGAGGAGGAGGAGGAGGAGGAGGATGAGGGGGACATGACATCGGGGAGACTTTCTGGCCCCGACTGGGTGCACGAGGCTCGCCGGAGGAACAGCCGTGGAAGGACCAACAGAAACACAGCGAGCCCCTTCCGAACCCCAACGGTCCCTTAATTACCTCAACGTCTGACCTGATTAGCCGGGTCAACAGTCCAGACGTGGACGGAGGTGGGTGAGACGTTGAAGGTACAGTGGAGGCCCGACCACAAGAAACATTCCACAAGAAACCTAACCCTAAGACCCCAGGACGTCCATGTATCCTTGGTGTGGGAACGTCACGTTTCCCATTGCAAAACCATCGAAACCAAAGAAACCCAGGGCATCCTGGAGGCAAGCAGGGTGTTTCTGAGCATGGGTCTCCACTGTATGGGGGCTGGCTTAGCCTCTTATTCCTTGCCCCCCGCCTCGCCCCCCCAAGGCCCGGTGCCCGCAGCGGGCCTGGACCTCGAGAAACGCAGAGATCTCCAGAAGCGGAGCGACTCCAGAATTGCGTGGCTCCAGACTTGATTTCCTCGTCGAGCCCACAACACACGTAGAACCATTGTGCGCGCTTCGCGCGCGCTCAGGTTCCAGCCCAGGCCGGGGGGGCGCTGGACGATCTTGGACGTCGCTATCAAGCACAGGCGCGCGACGGCATCTGAGGAGCTTCTGGAGTGTTCCGCATGCTTCGTCAACTGGCTGTTGGAGGCACCTCTTGGGTGCTTCTTGGGGGGGCGTCTGAGGGTCCCTTGGGGGCATCGGTTCTGCAATCTGAAGCCGTCATTGGCCGTCTTGGCTGCGTGGAGGCCCGACTTGAGGCCACCTGCGGCCAGATTGAGGCAATCCGGAAGTCTCCCGGGGGCCTCCTGGAAGCAGTTTTGACGCATCGAGGGCACTCTTGGGCTATTTTAAAACCTCTTGGACGTCTCCTAGGGGCCTTTTGGGCCCTCGGGAAACTTGTGGCGTCCTCGTCGGACCACTTGAGGGCCTCTTGCGGCCTCCTGTGGGTCTTTTGGGGGGAACGCTTTGCTGTAAGGTCGCGTTCCCCTTCTTGGGCCTCTCCTGGGGCTCTTGGGGCCCTCTCGGGCCGTCTTGGGCGCCTCAAGCACCGTCTTGGGGCCCTCGCGGGCCGTCTTGGGGCCCTCTTGGAGGCCTCTTCCTCCATATGGGAGCGGTATTGGAAGCCTCTTGGGCCATCTTGAAGCATCGGGAAGCCAAAAGGCAGAAAAAAATACAACCCGTCAAAGCCCAATCGTAAAACAATGAGTTGTGCCTCTTGGGGCCACCTTGGGAGATCTCTTGGAACCTCGTCGGCCCTCTTGGGAGCTTCTTGGGGGCCTCTTGGATCCGAATGGGGGCCTCTTGGGACTTCCCGAGAACCGAGAGGGGGTAGAAAGCTCGGATTCTCGGTTGGTGTTTCCCTTCTTGGGCCTCTCTTGGGGCCGTCGTGGGGCTCTCTGGGGCCGTCTTGGGCGCCTCAGGCACCGCCTTGGGGCCCTCGTGGGCCGCCCAGGGCCCTCTTGGAAGCCTCTTCGGCTATCTTGGATCTGTCTTGGAGGCCTCTTCCTCCTCCTCGTCCCCCTCCTCCTCCTGATCTTCCTCCTCCTCCTGCAGCGTGTTCCGGAAGGCTCCCGCCGGAACATGCTGTGCACAAGTGCTGTCACTGCTCCCGCCACCGTGCCCTGGGTGGTGGGTCAGAAGCCTCATGGGTGTTGGTTTGGATCTCGTGGTTGGCCTGTCGGGGACGTTGTGAAGGCAGTTTCGCAGCTTCTCGATAGCCGTTTTGGGACCGTTCTGGGGCCTCCTCGGGGCCGTTTTGTACCCTCTTTAGGCTTCGTTTGGGCCTCCTGGGTGCCTCTTGGGGGCCTCCTGGTGCCTCTTGGGGGCTCCCTGGGGCCTCCTGGGGCACTCTTCAAGCGGGAGGGTCGAATTTTGGAGTCGTGGTCCCCGTCTTGGGCGCATCTTGGGGCCGTCTTGGGACTCTGTTGGGCTGTCTTGGGCGACTCTGGGGCCGTCTTGGGGCCCTCTTGGGCCGTCTTGGGGCGCTCTTGGGGGCCTATTCAGCCGTCTTGGAACGTCGGACAGCCGAAAAGGCTGGAAGGCCAAAATCGTTCGAAAACCTTTGTAAAATTGACGATTTCGGCCTCTTGAAGCGCTCTGGAGAGGCGTCTTGAAGCGTCGTGGAATGCCTTGGGGGGCCTCTCGGGCCGTCTTGGGCCTATCTTGGGCGTCCCGGAGCGGTCTTTCGGCGACTCGGAGCCCGCTTGGGCCGTCTTGGGAGCCTCTGGAGGCCCTCCTGGACTATTTTGGACCTCCCCGGCCGCCCCGTCCTCCCACGGGGGGTCGGAGGCGGCGGCCTCCGAGGCTCAGGACACGGACACCCTGTGAAAACATGTGGAAAATGAGCCCCGGTACCCCCATGGAGGGTCGGGGCAGCTGTTTTCGGGCACCGTGACTCCTGGGTGCCTTTTGGGGGTCTCCTGGGGCCTATTGGGGCCCCTTTGGGGCCTCCCGGGGCCCTGTGGAGGCGGGAAGCTGGAATTTCCGGTTCGCGGTTCCCCTCTTAGAGCCCTCTTGGGGCCGTCTTGGGCCTCTCTTCGCCCGTGTTGGGCGCGTCTTGGGCCGTCTTGGGGCCCTCCAGAGCCGTCTTGAGCCCCTCTTGGAGGCCTCTTGGGTTGTCTTGGGGCGTCCGCGTCGTGGAGCGTCGGAAAGCTGAAAAGGCGGGAAATGCAAAATGTGCCCGTAAAATGAACGATTTTGGCCTCTTAGGGCCCTCTGGGAGGGCCTCTTGGAGGCCTCTTGGAGCGTCTTGGGGGCCTCTTTGGCCGTCTTGAGCTTATCTTGGGCATCTTGGGGCCCTCTTGGCGCCCTCTTGGGCCTCTTGGAGCCTGCTGGGCCTGTCGTGGAGCGCTCTTGGGGCACTCTTGGGCCGCCTGGGCTGCTCCAGGGAGGCTCCAGGCCCCCCCGTCCCCCCATGGGGGGTCGAGGCGCCTGTCCTGGGGCCCCCGGCCTCGCCCCCAGGGATATATATATATATATATATATATATATATATATATATATATATACACACACACTAGAACCACGCGCGCGCTTCGCGCGCGCTTAGGTTCTAGCTAGGAGGCGAGCTTGAGTCAACGAAAGTCGCAGGG